CACACAAGCTTCATTTTAACAACCCTTCGCTTGACAGGTTCTGGAGAAGATGAAATGTCAGTGGGGTGACAAAAGACTCTGCTTAAGAAGAACATTGACAGGCCCATGGTAGAGGTACCAAGATGAACAGCCAAATTTAGTCCTAGTTTCTGTAACAAATACAAAAGCAGTCTGAACAAGCTTAGATTGTGTGTTTCTGATATGATTTCAAGCTTATAGGTAGGTTCGTAGCTGTAAATAACAAAGTTCGAGGTATCGATACTTAGATAACATATATCAGAAAGCAGAGATGAGCTCTATTATGTATAAATGAACTTGTAGTATTCTAATGGTTGTTTGCTTGGACTTCATACCTCTTTGATCGTTTCCCTTGAGAATCCAACTATCAGATTCCTGGGTTGAAACTCGACGATCCAAAGTGAATCATATTTAGGTCATTCAGGTCACTAATGCAACCAACTCAAAATTTCGAGTTGGTCCAAAAAAAAGTTTCAACTCAACCCGTATACATTCATTGCTGCAACATAAATAACTGCTGGGTAATTCAAGATGGGTGGAAACCCTGGTAGATTACTATAATAATGTGCAGATGAAACTTCAAAGAAACAAAATGAGAGAAATTTTGTGTTCATGATTTCATAATGGAACTCTGTCACACAATTCACTTGGAGCGAATATGTCCCATCTTCTCAGACAAAGCAGCTGTGTTAATCAGCTCTAAACCGAATTTCCTCCGGTTGTAGATGTACAGATTTACACACAAGGCTCGGTTAACGTACTCGTATTTTGACGTTTATACCTTCTCCCAGCCAACACATTATCAACCTGCACAATGCTTGCAGCTCACAATTACAGTGATCACTGACTATTTTTCAAAGGCAGTCTCGAGGCAATAAGACGGTTGAATATGATCCTCTCTTGGATAGTTTCCTTGATTCGATAGCAAGAGTGGAGGTGAAGGTAGTGTTAACTGTATGAACACTATCCGTTACTCGAAGATCGGCAGATCGCTGGCCTTTATAAGGACTTAGGACAGGTACATCATCCAGCTCTAGGATATTCAAAAACCAAACCTTCTGCTACACTTCTCGCTCTCGCATGGCCAAAAAGCTTGCTTACAATAGCCAATGCAAAATCTATTACATTGTAAAACCCCTTGCTCGTTATCAGTTTACCATCAATAATTACTTTTGCAGCATTTACTTCATGGGTCGACTCGGTTTCCAGAGATGGATGAGCAATTGCTCTTTTGTCCTGTTTGGCAATACAAATATTTGAGCTTTGCAATCATGTAGGAGCAGAAGGATGGTATAGGGCTTCCATATTACCTTCAGTAGACCCTGTTTGAACAGGACTGCAGGTGAAGAGCAGACTGCACCGTATATTCGTTTGGCGGAGTCTTGTTCTTTGAGCATTCTCTTAAGGATCCGGGATTTGCTAAGCCGCTCATCTGCTGCAGCTCCCCCCTGAAATTTTATGGCAGGAATTGTGACGTTGAGTCGAAAGGAAAGAATATCTAGAAGCATGAAGGACAAACAGCTACAAGATTACGAAAACTTATTAAATCGACAACGAAGCAAGAAACTTCTGTTGCTGATGGACAGATTATGGTAGCAAGGCATTCATAAAGTTACAAGATTAATAAATTATATTAAGAAAAGGAGACGAATTTACTAATTATGTGAAGAGAACACAACAATGGTTATGAGAATACAGCAAATAGGCAAACAGTTCCAATGACCAGACAACACTTTGTGAAGCAACAAGCTGTCTGGAATTGAGTAATCAAAGTCAACCAAGTTTTTCAGAAATTTCAATGGCATTACCGGAAGAATAATTAGATCATATATTGATTCTGCAGCTTCTTTAATCAACTTGTCAGCAACTACTTTTGTTCCCGTCGACGCTAAAATCTGACGTGACTTTTCAACTGAAGCAATCACGACATCCACCTTAGCTCGTCGCAGAATATCCGCAATGGTTACTAATTCAATCCCTTGAGAACCATTTGCAATTGGGATAAGAACCTGCGCAAGAAAACAAAGAATATTTAAGGTTGCAAAATCTATGCACATAATATTCTCTTATGTGATTCAAGCAAATTGGAGCATTGATTTCGGAGTAACTTAGTTTCAAAACTTAAAAATCAAACACAGTTTAGGGCAACTTACACGAGGAGTATGATCAACAGACCAGTCAACTTTGTTGAATTCTTCCTTTCGAGGGGAATCATTCTCAGAATCCATTAGCTGACATACAATCACAAGAAAGCAAACTCGAGCAATTTAGTTACAGAACGTGCGAGTTCGATAATTTCCGAAAGGAAAGTTTCATGTGAGAGAGAATAATAGCATTGGAAAAAAAAACCGTCCAGGTAAATTGAATGCTCAGCATGACTATGAAGATTACAAGTGAAATAATAAGTAACCTAATGGGATTGTTCGAGTTTCACAACGACAGCCAAAAATAACCAAGAAAATATTATATAGAAGATCAACAATAAACCTCACCAAAGATTCTCCAAGCTCCTTAGCAACTGATTCTCCATAGAGCTGCTCAACTAAAGCTAAAGAAAATCCGAAAGTAGTTCCAGGGCCACGGCTCGTTGTGAGCTCTCCCGACACATGAATATTTGATTTAACAGCCCAAAATTGTGGGAGCTTGTCATTGAATGCAGGGTGACATGTTGTCTTGAATAACAAACTACACCATAATTAGTAAGCCTGCATAAAGTCATAGTTTCCAATGAACTAGATGAAATCAAATTTGACAACACTGAGCTACCTGTTTTCTTCTTATAAGTCCCCAAGGCAGAAGGGTGACTGCTGGGGCAGCACATATTGCTCCATACAGTCTCTTTTCTTCAGCTTGTCTGCTGGTAATTTTCCGCAGTATTTCACAATCTCTTAATCTTACAGAGCCAGGCATCCCTCCCTAACAATGAACACATAATTATCATAATCTTATGTGACATTGATATGTCATTTACAGCACTGAGATGCTTAAGGTAACAAATGAAAATCACAACCCAAGTCCACAATTGTTACAGACTGAAATATAGCTAAATTATGCCAGTTCTATTAAGAAATATATCACTGTCATGTCTCCACAAAACCACTGAACAATATGTTTCAGAAAGAAAAACTTTCAGGAGGGTGCAAATCCTGGTTTTACCTACGAATTCTCATATACTTATTTCATGTTGGTTCATAAACTTTCAATTGTTCTTTTTAATGGGGTAGAGAGATTCAATGGCCTCTTGGTTGATGGTACTTGTCAATTACCACCGAGTTATGCACATTTTGGCTTCAATAGTTCTATTTTCTAACCTCATCTTTTCAAATAATTTGTTTTAGTTTCTAAACCTCAATAGAAAACTATTTTAGTCATAGCCAGTGTAATAGCCCAAACTCACCGCTAGCAGATATTGTCCTCTTTGGGCTTTCCCTTCCAGGCTTCCCCTCAAGGTTTTAAAACGTGTCTATTAGGGAGAGGTTTCCACACCCTTAGAAAGAATGTTTCGTTCCCCTCTCCAATCAATGTGGGATCTCACAATCTAGCCCCCTTCGAGGCTAGCGTCCTCGCTGGCACTCGTTCCCCTTTCCAATCAATGTGGGATCCCCCAATCCACCCCCCTTCGAGGCCCAGCATCCTTGCTGGCACACCGCCTTGTGTCCACCCCCCCTTTGGGACTCAGTCTCCTCACTGACACATCGCCCGGTGTCTGGTTCTGATACCATTTGTAACAACCCAAGCCTACCGTTAGCAGATATTGTCCTTTTTGGGCTTTCCCTTCCGAGCTTCCCCTCAAGGTTTTAAAACACATCTACTAGGGAGGTTTCCACACCCTTATAAAAAAGGAATCGTTCCCCTCTCCATCCGATGTGGGACCTCAGAGCCAGTTTATTCATCGTGTTGAAAAAAACACAAAACCTGTTTCTAATTTGATATTGAGCCTACTAATGTGTTGTACACATAATAACAATAATAAAAACGCAGACAAAAATGGTTTCATTATGTTCGAAAGTTCATGAATCGAAATAGACGAATATGAAAGTTTAATGACTAAAGTAAGATTTAAACCAATGTATTAATACGACAGCTTTCCAGCCATTTTATGCTTCTAGTATCTGTTGTCTCACTTCTTAATTGTCCTAAAAGGATTCTCAATTCCGAAGCAGTCTAGAACTTGGGGGCAATTCTACTTATAAGTGAAAGTACTTACAGGCAAAGCTACAAGGTCGAAAACTTCATTGGAACATGCACTGATTAAGGTATCAGCAACCAATTTCATACCCCCAGAAGCTTCGATTTCAAGCTCTGGTTCCACCGACGCCACAGTCACGGCGGCCCCTGCTAGACGCAAAACATCAACTATAATAACAGCTTCCATTTCCTCAGTTCCAAATCCGATAGGAACCAGAACCTGCCCACACACACATGAGTTCAGTATTATTTTCCCTCTTCTAAACATTCTTAAGAAAATCGATCATACAAGATTAGTTACTCGTTGATTCACCAAGAAATGGAAAACCCACAATGATTTTATAAGGTTAAGAAGAAATGGCAAAATGGATATCGTAGAAGGACCTTCTTGAGAGGCATAGATGGAGATGAACTCGCAGCCATCGTACCGGAACTCGATAGCGTTGAAGGAGAAGTCGGAGAGAGGGTTCTCGTGGCTGTCGCCGAGAGTTTCGTGGCAATTGTTTTCCGCTGTTCGGATGCCGTTAGAGTAAACGACGGAGATGAAACGGTGATGGTGGCAGGTACCGCCATGGGCGAGAGCTTGAGCAGAGCAGTTGGTATCGAGTAAGTCGCCATTGAAACACCACGCTCTCAATATCTCATCCCCTTCGAAACGTATCCAAAACCCCAATACCCTTAAAAATATTATTTTTTGACTTTTTTATAGTAATTTTCAAATTCTAAGTTTAGTGATCATTAAAATGAGATCAAATTAAATACGGCAATTTTATTATTTTTATTTATTTGTTAAGAAAAAGAACGAATCGGATAGAACTTACAGGTAGGATGAGAGCGGGATAAAACGATCGGACTGATCTTTGATCGGAGCTAACTCGGAGAGAAGATGTTGAGAACATTTTCGAGAAGAGCAGCTTCTTCTTCATCCTTTTTCACCTCCAATTCATGGGTATCGATTTCCGGCCAGATTCTTCCTCCTCGGAGGAGGGAATTCTGCTTGGGCGTCCTTCCCGATGGCGTTGATCGGAGCTCCGACGCCTTCGCTCGAAATTCTGAGGCCATGGGTGGATTCATTACCGAGCTTCGTTCCCATATCAACAAGGTCTACCCTACTCCTTTGGAAATGGGTTGTGTGTGCTTTCTATTGGGATTTCGGTTGATCTTTGGGTGATTATGTGCCTTGCAGGTTCTAGCTGGGGGCGGGCCGGAAGCTGTGAAGAGAAATGAAAGTCGAAATAAACTACTTCCCAGAGAGCGGATTGATCGCCTTCTTGATCCTGGCTCTTCCTTTCTTGAGCTTTCTCAGGTTTTTTGCTGCCAATCCAGTTAATTTCTCCGTTGTTTGTCACCAATTACCTTAGTATTTTCTTTCTTTGATGAACTTCTACGAACTGTTCTTAAACGCATGCCTTCATTCAATTTAAAATATGGGGTAGCTTGCAGGCCATGAACTGTATGATGAGCCCTTGCCATCTGCTGGGATAATCACTGGGATAGGGCCTGTTCATGGACGACTTTGTATGTTTGTAGCCAATGACCCCACCGTTAAGGGGGGGACTTACTATCCCATCACAGTCAAGAAACATCTAAGGGCTCAGGAGATTGCTGCTAGATGCAATTTACCCTGCATTTATCTGGTTGATAGTGGAGGTGCTTTCCTTCCAAAGCAAGCCGAGGTGTTTCCTGATAGGGATAATTTTGGCAGAATATTCTATAACCAAGCTGTTATGTCTGCCGAAGGTCTTCCTCAAATAGCTCTTGTATTGGGTTCATGCACGGCTGGGGGTGCTTATATTCCTGCCATGGCTGATGAGAGCGTGATGGTCAAAGGAAACGGCACTATATTTCTTGCAGGACCGCCATTGGTGAAGGTCAGTTCGTGTTTCTATTAGCTTGCATTTATCTCTGTGAATGCTTGTTAAATTTAAAGGACATTGAACTATTGTGGTGGCTTTGTCTCTAATTCTATTTCTTCTGGATAAGATGTTAAAATAGGCTGCTACAGGTGAGGAAGTCTCTGCAGAGGACTTAGGGGGTGCTAGTGTACATTGCAAAACATCTGGAGTTTCTGACTATTTTGCGCAAGGTAATTTAGAACATTTGTGATTTGAGAATCAAGTTCATAACTTTTAAAGTTATTATAGTTTTGTTTCTCGTTCCTCGTTACTTGTCAAGTTATACATTTCTTAATGTGTATGTGCTGTTTACTAGCGTCGTAACAATATTGTAAATCATATTGTATTACCTAAAGAAAAACTTTTGGACCCTTTCGTGTGAAGTGGAATCATTTTTGTGCTTCCCACGCAAATTCATGTAAAAATTGGGTTAGATTAGAAAAAAAAGTGCACAAAAATCTCTCCTTGTTCATTTCTGTAATATTCTAAGTGTAATTTACAATTTTATGCAGATGAAATGCATGCTCTGGCTCTTGGGAGAAACATAGTTAAGAATCTACACATGGCTGGGAAAGAAGGTTTGATAAATGAACTGCAAAACGTAAACGAAGACTTCAAGGAGCCATTATATGATGTCAGGGAACTTCGGTCCATTGCCCCTACTGATCATAAACAGTCTTTTGATATTCGCTCTGTCATAGCTCGAATTGTTGATGGAAGTGAATTTGATGAGTTCAAAAAACTATATGGAACAGTGAGTGCATTCATAAAACTTAAATTGCTTACTTTTTACTTGTTCTTTCTTGATCTTTCTAAAGCTCATAATCTAAATTGTATGGATTGCAGACTCTTGTTACAGGCTTTGCCAGAATTTTTGGTCAGCCTGTAGGAATTATTGGAAATAATGGGATATTATTTAACGAATCTGCTTTAAAGGGGGCTCATTTCATCGAGCTATGCACACAGCGGAAAATTCCTTTGGTCTTTCTTCAGAACATCACTGGATTTATGGTATGTGACATCCGTTTACTTACCATGTTAGAATTCTCAGATGACTTGTTTTTAAGTTATGGCTAATATTCTATCGTTACAGTCTAGGATCATTCCTACTTAACACAAATATATTATCACATTAAACCTCCTTCCTATATATTCTGTTGGGCCTATAACCTCTAACACTTTTTGGACAAAAGACAGTTCAATCCTTACAATTAACACTGCCTTAATGCCTTATTCTATTTGTGTGAGATCCCACATCGGTTGGGGAGGAGAACGAAGCATTCTCTATAAGGGTGTAGAAATCTCTCCCTAGCAAACGCGTTTTAAACTCTTAAGGGGACACTCGAAAGGGAAAACCTAAAGAGGACAATATCTGCTAGCGATGGACTTGGGCTGTGCAGATTCTCCTTCTAGCATATGTAACATGGATAGAAGGCTTAAACTATCAGACATTTGCATACGCTTTTGTATGTATGTGCAGCATAGTGCCTCTTGATGGTGCACAAATCACACAAGTTTCTTTTGTAATTATAGCTTTCCCAAGATTATTAACAACTAGAAGGTCTTCCTTTAGTTGAGCTTTGGGGAAGGGTTATCTCTACCCCTTGTCCTTAGGTTGTTCTTTTGGCTTTATGTGAACATATCTCTATGTTTATTATCCAAGAAAAAGGTAGCTTAGGCGCCATTTTCATTTATTTAAAATTAGTACTGTTTTTTTCTCTCAGATCCCTGAATAAAGTCCAAATTATTTTTAAGTAATTCTCCGTTTGCTCATCTTTGAAGTTTTGAGAATTGTTCATTTTGCCCATGTGTGTAAATAAATTAAACTATATGTTTGTCTTTTCTGGATAGAATGGTAAATTGTTCTTGTTATCGTTTTGTGTGGATTTACTTTTAGTTTCAATTGTATTTCTTATTAAAGAGAAGTTGTCGAGATTGGTGGAAGCTGGTAGGTGATGTTATTAGTTTGGCAGGTTGGCTCAAGATCTGAAGCAAATGGTATTGCAAAATCAGGGGCCAAAATGGTCATGGCAGTTTCTTGTGCAAAGGTCAGTCTCCAACCTTTTCTTATTGTCAAAAATTATTTGAATGCTGCGACTGATATCTACACATCCATTATGCTAGAACCCCTGAAAATAGGCTAGATATTGATGTGATGACCGGTGACTGGTACCTAGGAAGTGGTCTGAGATGAGGTTACTGTGTTCTTGCGATTTTGTTGGTATTTGATATACCCGAAATGAATCAATAAGCTGAGAGTCAAATAAATCACTCATCTTGATGTCTCTCCGAGTTTCGACTAGTAAGTAGCACATATGCTATTGAATAATGGAATAGATTTTTGTCAAGCTGAAGAAACCCATTATTATTAGTAAGCTAGCGCATCAAAGTCGACGTTTCTCGCTTATTAGTCTGACCTCCTCACTCGCGGCTGAGGAAAGACAAGTGTAAATTTGATGGTTATTCTTTTCATTATTCAATTGTTTGTGCTCTTGTAACTTTGTTTGATTGAATATATGGCCCCTTCAACTACCTAATTCTAGATATGCTATTTCGACTAGTAGGGGAGGCTTTTTATTGGTAATCTTCCTAATCACTAGATAGAGGTTGAAACAGATGCCTTTGTTGTCTTGTATATTACTGCGGCGCTACTAGATGTTCTACTTGGTCTTGTCCAACTTTGTTATATTGGATATCTTATGGTCATGATTAAATACTGTTTTGTGTTTCATGAGATTTTAGAGAATATATATCTAGTTTAATTATAAACAATTTAGAACATTCGACCGTTGACGCTTGGACGTTAAAACTAGTGGTATCAAAATAATACTATGTCAGCTAAAAAGCCACTGTATAGCATTTCAGATAGATGTCTTTAGCTACTCATTTGGTTGAATTTTCCCTGTGATTTGGTACTAAAAAAGAAAGAACAAACTAGCTATTGAAATGGTTTCTCCCTGATTTATCTTCTCACTAATTGAATTTGACGAAAATAGGTCCCTAAAGTTACTATCATCGTTGGTGGAAGCTTTGGTGCTGGAAATTATGCAATGTGTGGTCGTGCGTACAGTCCCAACTTTTTGTTCTTATGGCCAAATGCGCGAATCTCTGTGATGGGTGGTGCTCAGGTAGATTTTGTGCTGATATTTCCAATCTCTGCTCTATATTTCTCCTTTACTATGCTGGGAACCACAGTATATAAGAAGTTTCAATTTCTTTCTGGCATTTTTTTCTCTAAAATCTCAGCTTTCTGATTATGATGTTCATATAGATGTATTTATAAAGGGATAGATAAGGTTGTCAATGTGTGGTTTCCAGGGGGGTTTATCTCGTAAAATACTATATGTCTCGTTATTATGTTTATAACATAAGATATGGCATTATGTATGCTAAGTAATCCCATATTAGTAGACCAAATTTCTCACACTCGAGTATGAAAGTGAAAGACCTCACCTCGATTAGAGAAGGGAACGAGAGCCAGCAAGGACGCTGGGCTCCGAAGGGGAGTGGATTGTGAGATCTCACATCGGTTAGAGAGGGAAACGAGTGCTAGCAAGGATGTTGGGTCCCAAAGGGGGGTGGATTATGAGATCCCACGTCGGTTGGAAAGGGGAACGAAATATTCTTTATAAGGGTGTGGAAATTTTTCCCTAGCAGACGCGTTTTAAAAACCTTGAAGGGAAGTCTGAAAGGGAAAACCCAAAGAGGATAATATCTGCCAGCGGTGGGCTTGAGTTGTTAAAAATGGTATTAGAGCCAGACACCGGGCGGTGTACCGGCGAAGACGCTGGGCCCCGAAAGGAGGTGGATTGTGAGATCCCACATCGATTGGAGAGAGGAACGAGTGCCAGCGAGGACGATGGCCCCAAAGAGGGGTGGATTGTGAGATCCCACATCGATTGTAGAGAGAAACGAGTGCCAGCGAGAACGCTAGGCTCCGAAGGGGGTTAATTGTGAGATTCCAAATTGATTAGAGAGAAGAATAAGTGCTAGCGAGGATGTTGGGTCCGAAAGGGGGGTGGATTGTGAGATCTCACATCTGTTGCAGAGGGGAACGAAGCATTCTTTATAAAGGGTGTGGAAACCTCTCTCTAGTAGACGTATTTTAAAAACCTTGAGGAGAAGCTTGAAAGAGAAAGCCCAAAGAGGACAATATCTGCTGGCGGTGCGCTTGAGCTATTACAAATGGTATCAAAGCCAGACACCAGGCGGTGTGCCAGCGAGAACACCGAACCCCAAATGAGGGTGGATTGCGAGATCTTACATCGATTGGAGAGAGGAATGAGTGCCAGCGAGGACGCTCGGTCCCGAAGGGGGTGGAGAGGGAAACAAAGCATTATTTATAAGGGTATGGAAACCTCTCCCTAGCATATGCTTTTTAAAAACCTTGAGGGGGAAGCCTGAAAGGGTAAGTCTAAAGAGGAGAATATCTGTTAACGGTGGGCTTGGGCGGTTATAAAAAGTAAGTTTTAGGTTGCACTACTGACATTTACTTGTTCCTTAATCATGTGTATGTCTTATTATCTGTCTTGTTTCTAAGAGCTGTATTTTGTTAACAACCTTAGCATAGTCATTAAAACTCACTAATTTCTTGAGAAAATGTTACATTTGCAATATAAAGGCTGCTGGGGTACTAAGTCAGATAGAAAAGAGCAATAAGAAGAAGCAAGGAATTCAGGTAATGCTTAGTTCAATCTGATGAACATGAGTACTCTTTCCTAAGATCACCAAGTTCTAGTTTCTATAACCTTTGTTTGGGCAGTGGGAGAAAGAAGAGGAGGAAAGATTCAAGGCAAAGGTAGTCGACGCATACGAGCGAGAAGGAAGTTCTTATTATTCCACAGCTCGGCTGTGGGACGATGGAATCATCGACCCAGCCGACACAAGAAAGGTTATCGGGCTGTGCATCTCGGCTTCCCAGAACCGTGCCCCCGAAGATACAAAGTTTGGTGTATTTAGAATGTAAAATTGCAGTATGCAACAGATATGTCTCTGTTATAGTAGTTGTTGTTAGCAACAAGGATGATTGCTGCTCATTTGTTTCAATGTGCTGTGTAACATTCAAAATAATCAAAGAATAAAAGCTCTTCTTCTATGGAAATTGGATGCTCCTTCCCTGGTTCTTTCTACTATTACTTAATCTCGTATACTTGTTCATCGGCCGTGTTCGAATTTCACTAAATCAACCGTGTGATGTCCCACATTGGTTGGGGAGGAGAACAAACCACCATTTATAACAGTGTGGAAATCTTCCCCTAGCAGACGCGTTTTAAAGCGCTTTGAGGGGAAGCTCAAAAAAGAAAATCCAAAAAAGATAATATCTGCTAGCGGTGGATCGAGGGTGTTACAAATCGTTATTTATTTGATCATTTAAAATTTTTAAATTTCATTTGACTATAAAAAAATTCATTAAATATTTTCAACAAAATGAAAAGGGTTTGTTAAGATTAGGACGCATTTTAATTATTTAAATTATAATTTTGTACCTTTTGAAATAAAGAAGTCAAAGAAAAATATATTATAAATAATTAATAGTTAATTTTTAAACAAAAGCGCCCATGGCCTAATGGATAAGGCGTCTGACTTCTAATCAGGCGATTGTGGGTTCGAGTCCCACTGGGCGTGCTTTGATTTTTTTCATTTTTCATTTCTTTTTTTATTTTATTCTTTGTTTATTTATTATTTTGTTTCTTTGTTTATTTATTATTTTGTTTCATTTGAAAATTTCATGATTGTAGGGACTAATTTAAAGATTTACTCTAAGCACCGAGAATAAAGATGGATAAAAGATTCAAATTATAAGGACGGAATAATATTTTAACCTTTTTAGACGAATATTTCACGAACATATCTCAATTTTAGATATATAGTTAGTCCTTTTATAAAGTCAAATGTTCAAAATTTTAACACATATTTCCTTTTTTAGACGAACATATCTCAACTTTAGACGTTGATAAAGATGTGAGAAAAAATGTATATGTCGAGGTCGAAATAAAACAATAAAGATTCAGACCTGTTTAAATTTGATTTTTGATATTTAATTAAGAATTTTAATAACTTTTCAAAAAAAAAAAATCAAGTAGTTATCAAACCGTGCCTATATTTTTATTTTTTGTTTTACAATCGGTAGACAAAAAAAAAAATAAATAATAATAAAATAAAGTTATATGCAAAATATAAAACTATTATAACCCTTCAATTGATTTGGTCGGTTAAAGTATACTAGCGAAAATAGTGATGTTTAAACTTTCAACTTCATCCAATTAGACCAACGTTCGAATAATCGTTAAAAAGATTCTCGTCATTGACTTAATATTGGAATAATCTTTAAAAAATATTCTTAATACTAACGTTAAAAATTAAATTAAATTTAGAATTTATTTCTTATCCTTGAATTTTTATGAATACTTTGATGAAATTTGATGAATAGTGCTAAATATATAAACTATTCCATAATACAAAACTTATAATTATCTACGTTAATAACTAAAATGTTATAAATTTAAATATTAAACATTTATAAATGAAAATGTATAGCTAACCTCGGTTATAAATATTAAATATATATATATATATATATATATATATATATATATATATATATATTTTAAAAAATAAGATGAGATTGGATTGTAACCCAATTTGTAGGTTGGTCGGGTTCTCAACTAAAAATATGTTAACAATTAATTTTTTGATTTTTCAAAAATTTAAAACCCAAATTAAAAAAAAAAAATCTAATCCGTATCGTATTAACAACCCTATCAAACTGTCTAATTTTAATATCTAAAAAAATAAAAATAAAAATATTATAATAACCACACGTTTCAGTCTTAAGGGCACTCATCGCTTTCAGCGAACTTACGTATCAGAAAACGTAAATTAAAAAAATTAATGAAAAAAAAAAGACGCGTCAAATCTCCACTTCCCTTCCGTCTCTCTTTCTGCGGCTCTGCCCACTGATCTGTTTTTACTTCGCATGCCGTTTGATTTCCGATCTCCTTTGCTTCTCTGCTCCTCTGCTCCTCCTCCTTCTCTCTTGTCCATGGCCTCCTACTTGCCTTTCTCCGTTCCTCAAACCCTTCCCAATCGCATTTCCTCCCATTCTAACCTCAATTCACTTTGCTTTTTCTCGCCTCCTTCCAATCTGCGTCTCCATCGCCGGATTAGGGCTCGAAATGCTTCTCTCACACTCAACGTTCAATGCGTCAGTCAGGCTAAAGGTTTTTCTCTTCGCTCTACTTTTGTTTGTTTTCGCTTTACGTTTTGTGTTGTTTTGTTTGTATGCTGTACTCGCCTGTTTGGTACGTTTCTCTAATTTTCTGCTGAAATGAATGAGTTAGTGTAGGTTTTACTACGTTCTAGATGTTGATCTCACTCTTTCTGTCTTTGTGTGCGGCGGATGAGATCTTGATTGTTGTGGTTTTCTTATTTTAGATTTAGTACAATAAATGTGATTGTTGATGAGGATTTAAATGACTGAGCTACAAGGAGATTGACTTCGATTACATATGAGATGGTTTTCAATTTAATCTCTGATTCCGATCATATGTTTTGCCTTTTCCTCTAATTATGCTAGTTTACGGACAGTTAAAAGTAATGTTGGTAATGCTCGTATTATTTCGAGGTCCAATCTTAAATTTGCGGTGTGAAGGAATGCTGGAATTGTCGCAAATTCCTGAAATAAAAAGATTTCAAGATCTGTTCAATGAATTGCGCAACACGCGTACAAATCTTAGGAAAAAATTTGATTGTCTCCTCTGTGTAGTGTTTCAATATCTAAACGTTTTGCCTTTTTTTTTTTTTTTACTTGGTGTATTATGATGCTTTTAACGAGAGCAATTCCGAAATTGCTACTTCATGGTAACTTTTTGTGGTAACTACGGGAAAGGAAGGGAGTAACTAATGCATTATTAGGGTTTTCAATCATGCCCTGCTTGATGATCTGAATAGAAACAGCGCATGGATGAATATGTTTCATAGCTATCAGATGTCCATTTACTTGTGGAAACCCTACTTGTTTTTGACATAGAACGAACTGCACTTTACAAGTTAATGTTTTTTTTGTACCTGCTTAGTAAACTACACTTGCATATGATTTTTGTTGAGCTTGTCATGCATGATCACTCCTGTTATCAGCTTGAATTACTAGTTTTTAATGCAATGTTTAGAACTTTTTTTTATGAGTTTGTTCTTCTTTTTCATAGTTACTGAAGACACTTAGCATTCCAAGTATAGAGAGTAAATCTTTGTTCTTTGTTCTGACAAAGTTAGAATGTCTTTAATAACTCTCTGGACTACATCTTGATGAAACGGTAGTATGATTATTTTTGCTCAGTCTTCATTCATTGTGTTTCTTACTTTTATAAAGAATATATATATAAATATAAGGTCTTGTTGTATGTTCCCCATCATTACACATAGACTTACCCAATTTTGACATTTGTTTCTGAATGATGTTATCTGGTGATATTACTACTTCATCTCTTTTCTTGTTTCAAGTATGTATGCAGTATACTGGGTTATTTTTTTGTTTTTTTTAAATTTTTACCTGTGGAATCAGTATCTTGTATGAATATACTATGATGATGGTCTTATGTTTTTGCATCATTGAAACTCATCCTTTCTCCCTTGTTCAAGGGCTTCTTTATCCTATAAACTATTCTTTGTAATCCATTGGTCTCTAGTAATGGTCGAACCTTACTGTATAGTATGGAAATTGCTAGTTGATTAAGGGTTTTCACATATGGTATGATTAGTAGTTACTCTCTTGCAAGAACTTTAGTATTAATACTTTTGATGTCATTTTTGTTCAGTTTTTAATTGATAAAATTGGGGTAACTATTTGGATTTCCATCTCAAGAATTCCTCTCTGAATAATCTTGTATTGGCATACACAGCTGAGGTGGTTACTAAAGAGTCATGGAACAAAATGATTCTAGAGAGTGGAATCCCTGTTCTAGTTGAATTTTATGCTAGTTGGTGTGGACCATGTAGAATGGTGCATCGAGTCATCGATGAGCTAGCTGCTGACTATGAGGGGAAGCTCAAATGCTTTGTACTCAATACTGACAAAGATTTGCAAATAGCCGAAGACTATGAAATTAAGGCTGTTCCTGTGGTTATGTTGTTCAAGAATGGGGAGAAGTGTGAAAGTGTCATTGGTACCATGCCAAAAGATTTCTATATTGCTGCCATCGAAAGGGTCCTCAAGCAGTAGGATGGATGCATGGAAATCAAATGGGACATCTTTTGCAAGGTTGACCTGACCCCCTTGATTGTTCGAGCTGGTCGGATATTTTGTCGTAAAGCTTTACACTAGGCTACTAGTTCTTGAGCTGTACATAAGAATATACTTCACTGTTAAGTTTCTTACTGTAGTTGATCGCATAGCCCTCATTAACCTATGATGATGGCTACATGGCAAATCCACACTTCACTGTTATGGCCTTTAGATGAAACTACTTGGGAGTTCTGAGCCATTTTCTTACTTAAAAATGCTTGCATTTTTCGGTTTTTCTTTATTATTTCGATGACGGAGGATTGAAATCTCTAACCTTTTGGTCGAAGGTATTTGTAGTTTCACTTTTCTGATGATACGTTGGATACCATCATTTGATTAAAAAGGATTGAAGCATTTTGAAATATTGTTTCCAGACATTTGATGGATGATTCTGATATGGATAACTTCAAGAAGTTTTATGTTTTATTATACCTTTTATGCCTAAGAATGTCTCTTTATAATACCTGACCCGAAACTAGATTGAGCCTAGATGAAGTTAGTAGCCCAAACGCCCAAAAGCCCGCCTCGAGTTGGGCTGGGGAGAGATGAGATCATGTAAGCATCCACCTCCAATGCCCACAACCCAATAAAAGGCAAAGACACTCGATTCAACCTTCATCTAATCCTATTAAGAAGAATGGAAAGAAAACCCAAGTCAATCCTCATATAAATAGACTATGACAATATCATTGAAGGTAATAGGGTGGTCTAATTTGAGCCAATATCACTTAATTATATCGTATCGTGGGATCTCACAATCTAATAAAAAATGCTCCATTCTTCTCACCAATCGATGTGAGATCTCACAATCCACTTCCCTTTCGGAGCCCA